TTTCTTTCTTTCTTTCTTTCTTTCTTTCTTTCTTTCTTTCTTTCTTTCTTTCTTTCTTTCTTTCTTTCTTTCTTTCTTTCTACTGTACACTGTCTTGAACATAGCATCCATTTTTTGTACAAATAATCATTTCTAGATGTTGATGCCTATATAAGAAAATTTGCATTGGCTGCAAGGATGACTGTGGATAATTGGTTTAAATCAGGATCCGTTGCTCAGGTTCTATTTGTATAGTTCTTCTACTAACTCTGAAAGCTGGAAATGATTAGGTCTTGCCTCTCTAGCTATGAAACTCTCAGCTCCAGGGGTAAATTTGCAATAGAGTCAAAATCTCATTTTCCTATCCCTATTGAGTCACCCTGAGGACTAAAAAAGAGAATAAAGTAAAAGGTTGACTTTCATCCTTCATGGTTTCTCCTGCCTACACTGATGAGAACTGTGGAGATGGCGTTAAGTCCAAAACACATGAAGACTCTTGTTTGGGCAAGGTTGCCATAAGTGAGAACCTCCAACTCTTCCTTTCCCATCTTCAGCACATACTTTGAACCGGAATAATGACTGTGGAACATTTAAGTGAGGATCCATATCAGTGGAAAGGAAAACAGATTTTGCATTTGGGGTCCATGGCAAAAGAATTCATAGGATTTTAAACTTTTTAAGCAAGCACGATCCCAGGAACTTTCCTTTGTGAGTGTTTTCCTTCAGCCTCTCCCACACCCAGATCATGGCCTGAATCAGAACCTGTTTGTTTTAGCTGGTCACTTTTTCCACAGGCTCTCTGCCGATGAGGATCTGTGTGCTGTCATTCCTTAGCTATTCAGCTATCACTTGTGAGTACTTACTGCCCAAAACTTATTTTAATTTAAAGAAATAAAAAGCAACGGCATTTTTAAAAATGGAAAGGAAATACAGGTTCAAAGAAAATGCAGAGAAGAAGGGAAATTAAATGCTTACATGCCAATATTTTGTTTGGTGCAAGTATACTCTTTCCCCTTGCCCATAAAACAAATATACTTAAATTTATGTTGGTTTTGTTCATAAATTAAAGAATTTAAAGTAATGTTGATGAAGATTCATTCTGTAAAGTAATTAACATTACCCATCCTTTATAATTCAACATTCAAATGAAGAAAATACTTTAACAAGGGGAACTGATAGTTTATAAAATGTCAGCTTTAGCTCTTTGGAAAGTAGCCAAAAAAAAAAGAAGTCTGAAGATTCGGTTGAAATGTTTGGAGCTGCAATGGGAAGAATCACAGAAAATTAACTATACGGAGCCTTCTCGATGGTGGCACCTGCCCTGTTGAAGGATATCCTCCCAGAAATTTGTACTGGTCCCACCCTTTTTGACTTGCATCAAACTTTTTATTTAGCATACTTTGTTTTTCTTTTGATTTTTTTAAAAAATCTTTACACCATCCAGAGTTGCTATGGAATTGGGTGGCCTCAGACCTGAATATAATAAACAAATAACATTTTGGAAGTTGAGACTTCCAACATTACAGCATGATCTGACACTCCAAAGTTTGGAAAATGGAGCACCAAAGAATCAGGCCTGACATTCATATAGCAAAAGAAGCTTTAGCATACTTCAAGGGGGATAACATGGGGAGCCAGTTTGGTATATAGCGGATAAGGCATCGGGCTAGAAACTGGGAGAGAATGACTTCTAGTTCCACTTTAAGCACAAAGCCAGTTGATGATCCTGAGGCAATCCTTCTCTCTCAGCCTCAAGAAGGCAAACTACTTCTAAAATGTTCCCAATAACACTGCATACTTGTCTACGTAGCTGCCTGAAATTAAGATGCCACAAAAGCTTTTTTTTTTAAGGGCGGGGGGGGGGGAGAATTTAGTGAGCTGTATAAGGATTTCTTCAACTTTTTGCAAGAGATAGGGATATTAAGTGTAAAAGTTGGTAAAGATTCCCTTACATCAAGCCCAAAGCTTGGTAATTTTATGACCATGGCTCTGCTATTTTCTTGGCAACCATGTGAAAATAATTGTCTCCTGCTTTTCCTTAAGCTGTTTTTTCAATTTACTAGATTAAGGGCAGAGTCCTAAGATTTCCTGGGATCTCCTATCCCAATATTAATCCATCTGATTCTACTTTTGAGATCAGCCAAGGTTGGCTTCAAGTCTAAAGAGTATTGCATGCCTTATCTCATTATATAGTTATTTTACTGTCACCCTTACTTTCCCCTCCCCTGCTTTGTTAGTCATCTTATAGGGATAAATTGCTTTGATAAGATGGGAAAGGGAAGGTGAGGGTAGCCTTCTCAGAACACATTTGCCGGTTTCTGGATTATTCCAGACATTTTGGACTGCCTCTCCCACACAATCCACTGCAGTTGGCCATGCAGACATATTTGAAAGCACCAGGTTGCCTACTTCAAACAAATGGATAGAAAATAAATTAAACCCATCAACAATTGTGGAGCATTATTTATTGCTGCGCTGGCCTGTTCCCCTCCATGCTTGCTTGGATATTTCAAAGCAAACATGTATTAGAGAATACTGTACCATAGCTCTACAATAACCTCATGACGACCAAACTGACTCTATAACTTTCTCCGAACATTCCTACTAATTGGGGGGAAATGAGAAACATCATAACATGTTTTCATGCACCTGCAGGTGACTTTGTTTATTTATCTCTGCAATACTTCCTCAATTTCTGAGGAAAAGCAGAAATCATTTTGAATCTATCATTTGTATTCAGGTCCTTTTTCATTTATACCTTCTATGTATGTAAGCTGCTGTTGGAAGAATTATCCTTCTGGGTTCAGTTCCAAGTGGGGAAAAAGAGACTGGAAACATGGAGGCTATTTGGAAAGACGGTTTAATGGTGGACAGGACCACATGGCTTGAAGCTCCAAAGAAGGATGATCACATGCTCCAAGGTGAAGGAAAGGAGAGAAGGGCGGCCAAGAGACCCTTATATCCCCTCTGTTGGGCCCCACCTTATAGTGCTTCCTGTTCCTGTGTAAGAAATATATCCCATTGACTGTCAGACTCCGAGGGGTGGGGGTCTTAGCTAACTTTGGAGGCTTTGTCTGGACCACATGGCTTCACCTGAGTGTTGGCTGATACAATCTTCCCAGGCCAGGTGGTGAGGTGCATAGAGGCCTTTATTATGTAGAGTACTCTGGCCTAGGCCTTAATGGTCCATTAGCAAAGTGGGGGAGGGGCTGAGTTTCTGCCTCTCTAAGGTGAGTTTCTGCTTCTGAGTTTCTACTCTTTTTAGGGGAAATATTCTGCCTTTTTAATATTTCCCAGTGTATTTCATTTTTCTAGGAGAGGGGTGGGCGTTAACTTCCTACACCGCCTATCAAGAATGAATTTTCTAAGAAGTATAAAAATAAAATAAAAGGAAGTCAAAGCACAATCGGAAAAAGAATGGAACTGTAGGGCTGTAGATCCCTCAACTGAATGTGGTGACCCTGTTCTCCATGATCCCATGATGATGAAGCTTTTCTTGCCTTTTAGCACTGTGGAAAAATTTATACTCCAAAGAATGGGAAGAACTGACTTTTTGGGGAAAAAAATACAAACTTGGTTTACAAACTCAGAAGTGCTTTTTAAAATTAGTTTTTGTGTGTGTGTGTGTGCACGCGCGTGTGCACATAGTAAAAAGTATCTATCTGGAGTAAGTCGCAGTGTACATTAGACTTTGCTGGTATAAATCAAGGAAGTTGAAGAAGGCACAATCTTTTGTTCTCCCAGCTTTCCGTATTTATATAAGGACTCCTTTGTTTTCTTCTACTCAATGGGCAGCATTTTTCCCAAGCTTATAACTTCAGGTGTAATCTTTGCTGCAGGCTTTATGTTATATTCATTCCTGTGGCAGGAAGCAGGAAGGAAATATTCTTCAGTGTAACAAAACCTAGCAAGTATTAAACCCACCCTTTTTTTAATGGGAAGGGGGCACAAATACAGTTGCAACAGTTGTATACATTTGTTGCCGTAGCAACAAATGACCAGGAAGTAACTGGCAAGTTTATGATTAAGTTCCTCATGGTGTTTCTTATCGTACATACATTCTTGCGGCAAAGCTTTGAACAGTGGCCAGGTTACATTGTTCTGACACAGAAGAAAAGAGGCATATTTATTTCATTTCATATTTAGTACTTCATTTCATTTACTAGATTTTTATCCCACCTTTATTACTTTATAAGTAATTCATATCCAGATTACATGTGAGAAATGCAGAGCAGGCCAAGGATAGACTTAAGGACACTTCCCAAAGGGCTATTTGCACAGATGTAGTAGAAGTAATTCTGCCCAGTGCCTCTCATGCAATGAATTTCTTAACTGAGGAGTGCTGAAAATAACCAAAACATCAATCTCTTCTTTTGCAGTTATGAATTTCTGTCGGATGTTTTTAGGGTCAGGCTTTTTTTTTAGTGCATTCTAAAATCTTCTGTCAGATTCAAAGGTCCTGAAAGGAGAAAAGTGGCACAAGGGCTTTGCAGCTGCCCTTCCATAGCAACTGTTTGAATGTTGTGTTAGAAGACCTTACAAATGCACCACTTTATCGCGCAATGGGAATTAATTGGACTCTTAGAGCCACTTTAACTTTTTTTTTTTACATCCTTGTAACTGTTATCTGTGAGTGAGAAGGAATGAAACTTTTTCTCTTGTAACCTTGTAGGA